AACATGAGCACAAGTTCTACCTATGATTACTTGCAATAACTGTAGGATAGGCGATAAAATAATAAAATTAGTCAGAGAAATATAAATAATCTAGTCAGAGAAAAGCAAACGACCGAAATTTGAAGAAACTGTCTCAATAATCGAGGACCATGAAAAGGAAAAGTATTGGCATTGAATCGTTTTCTAGTTTTAAAATAATATAATATCAATGAATCGAGGACATATTTATATACATTTTAGCGTGATTGGATTTGAAAGCACGATTCATGAGATATTTTGTATTAAAGTCTGTTCCTCTTTCTGAAAAATTTTCGTTAAATAGCTTGTACATGATGATGATAATTCCTTGTGAATATATTCAACTTAGAATAATGTTCATGGCAATATTAAAACGTTGTTCTCATCTTCAAATTCTGATAGACACAATTCTGTATCGAGGGTCCGGGGTGTGGATCGACTTGAAGGCATGAGCAGAGTCACACTCAGCCTGAACTGTACGTAAAAGGAATACCAACATTTGTGAATGTATCACTCAAAATTATTCTTTTTTTCAATTATTTTTAATGTTAAAAATAAAATAAGATAGAAAATTATTCGAATAACCTATATATACAAAATATAAATCAAATAGTATGATCAATTGTATACGAATTAAATTGAAATATGAACATGAATGATGTCTTTCAAATCAAAGGATATTGCTGTTGTAGATCTTGTTGATTATGTTCTTTTAACAATTTGGCTAATTTAAACATGAAAATGATTTCCAAAATCTAAAAAATAGATCATTCAAACAGAAAGAAATCCAATCAATAAAAAGAATAAAAGAATAATAATATACCGACGCAACCAGAGCGATCAAACCATTAATCATGACAGCTATTTCAACACCCTTTGAAACAACTGATGGACTCGCACTTTTATCAATGGAACTTGTTACTGATTGATTGGTCACTTGAGCAAAAAACATACACAACATAGTAAAAATCATCATTACCCAGTAAGTTACTTCGATCCATGCAAACTAGTAGAAAAGACTCGATATTGAAACTGAATGAGTAACAAATATTTACTTACAATCAGTATACCAATACGATCTAATTTAATTACAAAATAAAGTGCAAGACACTCAATAACCAAGGCAATACTAACTAGAATGATAAGTAGTCTTTAATAAAAATACATCAAATTGTCTTTGTCTTCAATATGGTATTGTTTTGAGACCATTTCTATAGGAATAGAAAAATTTGCCTCACGAATAAGTATCGTTATGAGATTGAGTGATATAGGTATATGAAAAATAAGTACAATCGAGTCATCAATCCCACAATTACGCAACAGTTATACAGGGAATTACGATATTCAGTTACAAATAAAAAAAAATTCTCGATGGTAAAACAAAAGGTTTATATAAAATAACTTACTTTCCTCCAGAATAGTCATTGCTTCTCTGAGTTTTTCATCGATTGTTTTCATTTTGAATATAATTTCGATGTGAACAGCAATAAAATAGAATGCAATCATTCCCTATATATGCACATGAGTATTCAAAATTGCAAAGAATTCGCGTAAAAAATATCTACCAATGCAATTAATAATAAAATAATTAAAGTTTTTCGTTGTGATCGTATTCGAACATTAAAACGAATGATGTTATCTGAATTGATCATCGTCTACTTTTCAGATTGACACTTGTGCTACTAAAAATGTGAATTTTGTATTTGTTGCCAAAGAATCACAAACAATTTTATCTATTGATTATCTTCTATTATGCTATACAATATGTGTAAGGATGCAAGCTAATCTATAGTTATTTCTTTTTTTTTCGTTTGTCTTTTTTTTTTTAGGTGTATTTTGACAGAGAAAAGAATGTCTCAAGTTACTCGAACGATTCAATTTTCAATGCTATAAATCAACTATGAATGTGATGATTGTTGTATGGTAGATAACAAAAAATAAAGAAAAGATGTGAAGGATAAAGCACAACGGAAAGAATTGTTAATTAAGTAATGTACCAAATGGATAACATGTATTCAAATCTATAGTATAGATGTGGATGAGAAAATGATCCACATATCCACGCTCAAAAAAAGTATTTAAAATATTAATAAAATATACAAATACTCAAATTGGAACTAATACTATTATTCGATAAAGCACATCGGTTGACTTGATACACAAGCACTATATCGATTCAAACAGAAATCCATTTTTATTACATCTTATTGTTCGAAATTTTGTCAATATTCCAATAATGTGTTTGTGCCTGACACTTGACGGATGAACTGCAAGAAAAAGAAATTGATACTATATATCTCTATAATACATGTTTGTTTAGGTGCAAACACATGAAAATAAATGTAATACTGTATAGTAACAAATAAAATAAGTACTTGTACTGTATAGAATAAATTTAAACTAGAAAATCCCTTTCACTGGTCAACAGACCTTTGATTAATGAAGTAAACAATAATGATTTAAAGATGTCGTGGTACGAGAAAGAGCTGAGGCATGTTTGCAATCAATATTACTCAAGATTATTTCATCGAACGAAATGTAATAGTCCAAAACACATTTTTCATAATTTATTCAATCATTCCTATTTTTATGTTCGACAGATTTAATAATATAATAAACATAATACGAGCAAATGCAATAGTAGCTGACTGGCAACAAGAGAAAATCAACCAAGGTTTACCGATATCTTTCATACATTTTTTATGTTATAAAAAGTACAAGTCGCAGTTGCTGTATGGGGAAATGATGAAAAGATTTTTCAAAAAATGATGTGTTATATAAAATCGCTCATCCAAGCCATAGAGAACGATTCCTTTGCTACGATATTAAGCTGTTACATATAGTAGAGAATGTCTAAAGCAATCAAAGATATTATTATTAAAGAAAACTTCCGCATATTAGACAAAGATGGAATGTTAACTATTTACAGTCGTAATATTTCTACGGATTCGTTATTTGATCGAATCAAGTTATTAGAGGAAGATAACTTTGCGATTTCTTCAGGACAACAGTATTGTTTAATATAAAATCTGCTGAGATCTCTGAGTATGTCTAAATAACTCTGATTTCGGATAAATAAAAAATAAAAATCGTATCCTTCGTGTTATTCCACTTTAAATTTTAAATAGAATATTCACACAATTATATACATCCGATGGTGATAAAACAGATTGAAAAAGTAATGTAATGCGATAGCTGTTTCACTTGTGCAACCTATATTTGTATTCTACATTTATTTTCAACCCATTTCATTTTTAGGCGCTTGCTCACTAACTGCCTTAATTTGATTGGCTATACAGTAAATAATACTAAACAAAAAAAGGATCCAAATTGATTCTAGTATGGTAAACAGGCATATTCATACTTTGATATGACTCATGTTTTAAAGAAACGCAAGCATAAATCATGTGCCTATCAGAAAAGAAAAAAAAATAATACTTTGCTGTTCTGTGCTCGAGAAAAAAAATGGTCTTGCACAATATGTAATGCTATCTCGTCATTTTACGATATACTTATATGTGTAGTCTACAACGATAGAAGAATTGAGTAAGTTCTTGCATTACTTCTGCCTTTTATTATTAGGTAACGTTTTTAATAACAATGGTAACGACTGAAGTCAATGATGAAGGTTGTTGCTATTGCAAAAAATATTCTTTATTCAATCATTTACAAACTTATTCCAATAGTTTCATGATATAATACGTATATAGAAAAACAACATAAGATTTATCGTAAGTCTCAAAGAAATCGAACGGGCATCCAATTTACACATGTTCGAGTTTATTTAGTTACTCTTATAAGACATAGAAGAAAGTCATTAATTATTTCACAACTTGTGAAAAGTTCGATTTTTTATTTGTGTTGAAAAAAAAAATTTAATTTGAATGTTAGTTTTTTCTTGAAAGACTGCTTAATAGCCTATGATGTTGAAACATAAAAGTTTAAGAATAATCTCGGATCTAATCGCCAAAAAAAAACATGTTTTTCTATTGTGATTTTTAATTATCACAACACGCCAAAACAACAACTTAAAATGAATGCAAAGATAGTTCTCTTTCGTTTTTCGTCTATACGAGAAAAGCAATAGTTTCTGAGTCATTGAACAAATAAGTAAGAGTAGTTGTGATAGATTATAGAAGTACGCAATCAAACTTGTTGTAAATACGGATACACACATATCTTCTTGTCATTGTTTTCTCTACTTTAACGACAGTCGTCAACAAAAAATAATGTAAAATTGTTCATCTACAACAACCAGTTTCTGATCATTCCTCCGTATAAAAGAAAACTTCAATGCTATAGAATATAACATCTAGCGACAATCAAATGCATAATATATTCTCGGTAGAAATATGTGACACTTCGTAGTAGGGTATTGGTTTTGTGAGTCGATAAAAGCAGATGCCAATTTTTTTTCACTTAGAATAGCTCTGTCCATCTCAAAATAGGTTTGATAAAAACATGGCTGATGGATAATCAAGGTGAAATTCTTTCTTTGAGAAAAAAATAATTCAGAAAATGTGTGAGAACTGTAATTTCTGATGCTAATTACAAATATTTTCTTTAAATGTTTTGAAATAAAAAAAAACAACATTTTAGATGAAAAACCAATGGTTATTTTTAAACATTTAATGAAATTTAGAAAATGCGGCATTAACCGTATACAAATGTATAATGCGAGCTTTTTTTTCTTTGTTTTCAATTTTAGTCTAGAAAAACTTTAATTTGCCATAGAAGATTTTGTCTGATTTATTCTTTAGAGGACAACACTTGATGTCACTGTAAAAGTAAACCAATAGTATTTAATCAAACAAAGAAATAGTATGTCCTTTCTTACCGACTTACAAATCTATTCTCAGTCAAAACTTCGACCTACGACTACTCGCGTTATAAACTCGTTAGGTCAAACTCATCATGAGTCCAAATCTGAAGATGGAACGTTTCAAATGTATGACAAATCAACCAATTCTAACAGTATATTTATGATAATAGATAATTCACCTGATGAAAAACTTCATCATATAATTGATGGTGTTTATATTGGTTCACAAGATTCAGCGTTTAATATAGCAGCTCTCAACGAGTGCAAAATTACACATATACTTAATGTAGCTACTGGAATCAAGAATGCATTTCCTGACCAATTCAAATATTTAAATATTGAATTATTAGATGTACCTGAAACAAATATTCACAAAGTGTTTACACGTACAAACGAATTCATACAACAAGCAGTTACTAATAATGGACGTGTTTTAATTCATTGTAATGCTGGTATATCGCGTAGTGCTAGTATAGCATTAGCTTATTTACTGGGAATACATCGCATGAAATATGAAGATGCATATCAATTATTAAAAACAACACGTTCGAATATTAAACCAAATGACGGATTTGTACAACAATTGAAACAGTATGCTGAAGAAATAGCGCAATCCAATGAAAATAATGCACCGTTGTCAGATGATATTAAACAGGTTCCTAATGAATGAATCATGTGATATATAGGACTACCGATACATATTCAAGAATAATAAATGATTTTTCTTTTGTATTTAATAAAAAAACATGTTAGCGCAATCTCTGCAAGGGTGTGAGCATGATTCAAGAAAAAAAATCAATATTCCACACCTATCCTCATTGATTGCTTTTCTACAGCATATTCATTAATTTCAGTTTTGTTTTACGATATAAACATATAGTCGTAGTCTAAAGCATGGATTCCCGTTCGCTCATGGTATTATTGATTGATATTCCATTATCGTTCTGTGCTACTCTTCGTTTCGTAGAATGCTAGAATAATGATGAACATAAGTAATTTAAAATAAGTAGGTTATGATGATACTCACTTTCTTTGATGAACAGAATGGGAATATCTCATTTAGAGATATCAATAATGATCTATCGACCGTTTTTGAATCTTTCGACTCTAAACCAAAAGTAAGTATTGATCTGACGATAAAAAAAATGTTTTTCTATTATAATATTTTACCAAATATCAAGGCGAATATTAAGCCAAGGCTAACAGTGATGAAAACACCATTAAAACTATACCACAAGGGAGATATTGAGAAGAGTGATGTTAATAAATTAGAGCTAACAATTTTCAAACAAGAACAAGAAGATCTAGTAATTTCTTCTACATGGCATTACCGTTCGTTTATTGATGTCGAAAGACTTATATTTACGGATGGTATACATCCGACAATTGATGTCGGCAATCGACCTCTTTGCCTTTGATATGGTTTTACAGTGATAGTAGCTCCAACTAGTACACACATTTGGAATATCAAACAGAGAAGAAAGGCAATGAGAACACTCTATGAATGTGAAAAGGAATCAAACATGTAACCTATTTCATAGATGTAATTTATTGTATTCACTCGACTTTGAACCCGTGGTGCAAAAAATCCTAGTAAATAAACACCAAGAATCGGAGTTGCAAAGGCACCAATGATTTGAAAAACAATCTGGATATAAAAGAAAAGAGATAGATAAATAGAGAACTATAGAGCGTACGAACTGTGATGATGTTATTCTTCATATAAGACACAGCGAATGCAAGAAATATGGTGAGAAGACCGACTCCGACCGCTGCACAATCGAGAAGCAACAAAGCCAATGCTATGAATATATAGAGAACCATACTTACATAAGAGTTTCGACACTATCGCTTGACTTTTATTTGACATTGGACGTGTGTTTGGCAGTCGTTTATAAATATCTTCGAGGATAACTGCTGCCATACTATTAACTCCACTCGAAATTGTACTTAACGATGCACTCAAAATAGAAGCTATGAAAAGACCAGTTAAGCCAGGAAATTGTCCTAATATTTGAATAACAAACAACGGATAGAGCTAGCAAAAAAAAAGACCCGTCACACATTCCAATTATTATGGATTGTTTATCCTACTTGATCCGGTTTCGAAATGAGTTTAGCTCGAAGTGGATCACATTGACTATACTTCGCAGAGAGAAGACATCCAACACATACACAAAGAGTTATCATCATTACAGTCATCACATAATTGGCCCAAGCAGCCCTATGTGAACAAATTTTCAAAAAAAAACAAAACACTCGTAATTCTTATCTTAGAATACCGTTGTGCTGTTTTTACGTCTTTGACACACATATATCTTTGTGCTTGAGTTTGTAAACATGTGCATAGGGCTGTGGAGGAGAATGTGCTACCGAACAGAATACTCCAGAAAGTATAACGAACCGACGGATCCAGAGTTATACTACAAAAAAAAAGAATTTTTGAAATTCTTTTATCTATTGTCATGATTTGCTGTTACACTGCGAATTGTAATCGATTTTCGGTAGTCAATGTTTCAAACACTTTTCTTATGCCGCCCGCATCGACGAAGCCTTTTTTATCAGTTTAAAAAACGAAAATTTTTATTTTCAATGATAGTTGTACCGAAAATAATCGACACAATAATGCCAAGAAACATTATAAGCGCTTGTATAACATCCGTCCAAATCACGGCTTTCATTCCACCCTAGAATTTATTCGAAAAAAAAAAACGTTGAATTATTGAAATGTCGAAGTTCATATGTAAATTACATACAATACTCGTATAAATTGTACAGACTAATCCACATGATCCAACTGCTAGCCATATGTTTAATCCAGTCACTTGGCTCAAAGCCAAGCTCGGTGCATAGAGAATAACAGCCATATAAAGAGTCTACACACATGATTTACTGATGTCAAAATGTAGAATTCTCTTTTTTTCCTACTTACAGTGGGGAAAAGAAAAATACATGTCACCACGATACGAACTGCCAGTGAGAAGCGTTGCTCAAGATACTATTATTCAGAAACAATTGTTGATTTATTTCAAAAATCCCACCTATATACATACAGCATAAATACTGACGCTTCCAATTTGATGAAATTTGGGTATAAATAATTTTGTCGTTAGATAAGTTGCTATCAACCACGAGAATACTTGATGGAAAAAAAGTAAAGAACAAAGGAGAATAGGTTCAAAAGGTTTTTGAAATACATTTTAGTCGGCAAAGATTTCACTACGTACCCGAATATAAATACATAATTCCATATTGATAGATTTCTACAGGAGTTCCCAGTAGAGTGGCCGCAGATCTAATACTTGCCAACAGACTCATTGCTGTTGGTAATGCCTATCAAGGTAAACGATAAATATCTCACGTATGTATCTTTAAGCAACAATTTATTACACTCATTCGACCATCTGCGATGAGAAATTCTTTTGCTGACAATTGTTTGGACCGAATACAGCCTTGATAGATACCAATGATGGCTGAGAAGCCTAGAAATATTCGATTCATATTTGTTTGCATCCAGGACACCTGTCTAGACTTACTCAAGAGTAGAGCTAATACTCCATAGTCAATCCAACTGAGATACATCTGAAATTATCGATCAAACATTCAATATTTCTGATGAGACAAACTTTTTTTTCCTGCTAACGAGCATGTATGTTAGGACTGTTTCTATATCACTACTATCGAATATTGTTAACAGTTTTTCCTATTCCAAAAGTGTGAAAAGAAATAAAAATTTGTAATCCTGAGAATTCTTTTCCTTCTAAACTAACTTTGTTGAAGTTACAGATACAATAGTGATTCTCAAAGCGAACACTTTTAACCATAACTCACATCTCGCAATTTTATAGATAAGAAATGTATATAGATATCCAAGTAACTGCTCTAATGTCAACTAAGTTACCAGATAAAAACAAGAAAAGAATATATATCACCTTGAAAACTATTTTGCCTTCTATTTAACAAGTTTTTTAACAATATTTCTTCTTCGATACGCACAAGGTGAAAGACAACAAATAGATGAATACCATTGCAGAGAGATCAGCAGATGAAGACATATCGGACATCCGATTGATCCAATGATATCATTGATGGAATGAAAGACTCATTTAGATCTATATTCATTCGATCAAATAAAAATAAATCAAATTTCAACATTGGAAATTTCTTGAAGATCTTTTCTGATAGTCATGGTAAGAGAAAAAAGAGGGCTATCAACTTCTTTTCCAGAGGTGACTCGTTTCTTTAAAAAAGTCATTTTTATTTCGATGAAATTATGTTTAGCAGAATGTACTCGGTGATCTGTTCATTTTTTTGCAGCTGTGAAATAGTACGAGAGTAACAGAACTAGAAAAAGAATGTATAGTAACGTGTTTTCTCGAACAAATAACCATCACTCAATGGGATTTCTTGATAGAAATTAAATTCACACAGACAACAATTGTTCTATGAGTCCTATCAATGGCAGATGATGATGATTGGAAACAAAGTCAGAATGAATGAGATGCAAACGGTGACTTGATTGCTACTACTCCTAATCCAGTAAATCGGAATCCTTTTGACAGTGGTAACCACCGAGAAGTC